AGTGAAATAAAGGAAGGAAGTGGGAGGAGCTAAGTTTGCCTTTTTTCTACCGACTCTATTAGCAAGTAATTGGCCCGCCCACCCATCCCACCCTTGATTGTAGTGACCACTCTTAATATTGTTAATTAACGACAACATTATTATCTTATTAGAGCCTTAGACAAATCTGTTGAACCTTTGCTGAAAAAGTAGATGAATTGTAAACAAATTTTGTGGAAAATATTGAGCCGGTGTTAAATAAGCATATCAGACTCGAGAATTATATTTAAATAGTATATTATTAGCCAAGGTTGCAGAGCCAAGCATTCTAGACCGAGCGCAAATTAGAACCCGAGACGCGCAGCGTCGAGGGCTCTGAAGCGCGAGGTCTAGAAGTGGCTTTGCAACCGTGGTTAATATACTATTTTTTTCACTAGTAGAAACCATAAGACAATTAATTGAAAAAATAAACGTTCATTTTTTGACGCAACGTGATTTTGTTTTGATTTCTAATCAAACTTAATCCAAATCTTCAACACAAAGAAAATCGTTTATATTATACTTGTCGCTGAGTTAATCATTTTATCCTCTACCGTCTACCAACTACCATGCGTATACTCAAGTAATGTTTGTAGCACACATTTGTTCTTTTTTTAAGAAATAATCAGATCAAACATTGCGTACATAACCTCAAATTTTCTTTTTGAACCGGTGGTCGCAAAAGTTGTATTTGCTACCACTAAATGAGTCGACATTTGCATGCGTCCTGGCTGCTAGTGAAAAAAAGTATTATTATTGATGCTCCTCCCACTAGTAGGAGCTCCACCTTATTAAATCATTTTATTAGTTCCGAGAAAAGGAGTAGGGTTTACACTAGTACCTCATATGATACGGTAAAGTCGTTTTTCGATCAAAAATTAAAATTTTATAAAAAAAAATATAATTCTAGATTCTATTATTTATCAATATAAAGTCCAACTTCCGTTTCAGAGCCAATAAAATGAGTCACCAAAACCAAGTAGGGGTGGGTGGGTGGGGCTAGTTTTTACTTTGTTTAAGTCTTAAATTTTACCGCTTGTCCATTTAGAATTCAACTCCTATTTTACACTAGATAAAATATAAAGTCAGTGAAATAAAGGAAGGAAGTGGGAGGAGCTAAGTTTGCCTTATTTCTGCAGGGTCTATCAGCAAGTAATTGGCACGCCCACCCGCCCCACCCTTGATTCTAGTGACCATTCTTAATATTGTTAATTAAGAGAAGATTATTATCTTATTAGAACCTTAGACAAATCTGTTGAACCTTTTCTGAAAAAGTAGATGAATTGTAAACAAATTTTGTGGAAAATATTGAGCCGGTGTTAAATAAGAATATCAGACTTGAGAATTATATTTAAAAAGTATTATTATTGATGCTCCTCCCACTAGTAGAAGCTCCACCTTATTAAATCATTTTATTAGTTCGGGAAGAGGGGTAGGTTCATAGTTGTACCTCATATGATACGGCAAAGTCGTTTTTCGACCAAAAATTGAGAAAAAAAAATTAAAAAATGTAGTTCTAGATTCTATTATTTATCAATATAAAATCCAACTACCGTTTCTGAGCCAATAAAATGAGTCACCAAAACCAAGTAGGGGTGGGTGGGTGGGTGGGGCTAGTTTTGACTTTGTTTAAGTCTTAGATTTTACCGCTTGTCTATATACAATTCAACTGCTATTTTAGTCTAGATAATATATAAAGTCAGTGAAATAAAGGATGGAAGTGTGAGGAGCTAAGTTTGCCTTTTTTCTGCAGAGTCTATCAGCAAGTAATTGGCCCGCCCACCCGCCCCACCCTTGATTTCACTGTCCACTCTTAATATTGTTAATTAACGAGAAGATTATTATCTTATTAGAAACTTACGCAAATCTGTTAAACCTTTGCTGAAAAAGTAGATGAATTGTAAACAAATTTTGTGGAAAAAATTGAGCCAGTGTTAAATAAGCATATCAGACTTGGGAATTATATTTAAAAAGTATTATTATCGATGCTCTTCCCACTAGTAGAAGCTCCACCTTACTAAATCATTTCATTGGTTCCGAGAAAAGGAGCAGCGTTTACACTAGTACCTCATATGATACGGTAAAGTCGTTTTTCGATGAAAAATTAAAATTTTATAAGAAAAAAGTAAAACTAGATTATATTATTTATCAATATAAAATCCAACTTCCGTTTCAGAGCAAATAAAATGAGTCACCAAAACCAAATAGGGGTTGGTGGGTGGGGCTAGTTTTGACTTTGTTTAAGTCTTAGATTTTACCGCTTATCCATTTAGAATTCAACTCCTATTTTACACTAGATAAAATATAAAGTCAGTGAAATAAAGGAAGGAAGTGGGAGGAGCTAAGGTTGCCTTTTTTCTACAAAGTCTATTAGCAAGTAATTGGCCCGTCCACCCGCCCCCCCCCTCCCCTTATTTCTAATGACCATTTTCTTAATATTGTTAATTGACGAGAAGATTATTATCTTATTAGAACCTTAGACAAATCTGTTGAACCTTTTCTGAAAAATTAGATGAATTGTAAACAAATTTTGTGGGAAATATTAAGCCGGTGTTAAATAAGCATATTAGACTTGAGAATTATATTTAAAAAGTATTATTATTGATGCTCCTCCCACTAGTAGAAGCTCCACCTTATTAAATCATTTTATTAGTTCGGAGAAGAGGGGTAGGTTAACACTTGTAACTCATATCATACGGCAAAGTCGTTTTTCGACCAAAAATTGAAAAACAAAATAAAAAGTTGTAGTTCTAGATTATATTGTTTGTTAATATAAAATCTAACTTCCGTTTCAGAGCAAATAAAATGAGTCACCAAAACCAAGTAGGGGTGGGTGGGTGGGGCTAGTTTTGTCTTTGTTTAAGTCTTAGATTTTACCGCTTGTCTATTTAGAATTAGAAATTATTTTACTCTAGATAATATATAAAGTCAGTGAAATAAATGAAGGAAGTGGGAGGAGCTAAGTTTACCTTTTTTCTACAGAGTTTATAACCAAGTAATTGCTTAAGGTATTAGACACAGTATTCAGCGCTCTTGAGGTTCAACAAATACAGCTTCTTCGAAAACTGGTAAAATTTGATTTTATATTATACCCTCTATAATTTAAAAAAATGGAGGCTGATTCATAAATCCCACGCTTAGGAGTATACTATTCTGTAAAATGTAAATAACATTTGAATCGCTTTACGCAGAAAGGACATAAGTCATAAAACTTTGTTTTAAGTAAACCAAAAAAACTTTCTAAAATATTCCCTCCTTTCTGCATTAAATCTGTAAGTTCAATGGTAAGAGTGTAGACAACAGGCAATGGTACTAACGTCTATTCTGCATAAAACGATGCTGTTTGATATCTAGACTGTTTTAGAAGTAAAAACGCCATTTTGCACAAAATTGACTTAAGTCCTTTCTGCATAAAGTGATTCATTTACTATGCAAAAGTTTTAGGTGACGTCATCAAATTGTTGGTGGGATGATCAAATAAATTTTGGTTAGCGTTTTATCATTTACTCCATAGCCGTAAAATACTAATAATACGTTATGACAATCAGTCCAGTAGTTTCGGAGGTTATTTGTCTAATACAATCAATACAAACGAGAAACAACAGCAAGACACATGCAAACGGGACCTACTTTTTCATGTTCTAAGAGTCGTGAAACGTCGAAAAACCGTCTATTATTATTAATAATGTAATAGGGTCCTCGGGAACTAAAAAATCAAAACGAAATTAGCGTTTTGTGTTGTTGGAAATATTTTATTTTACTCATTGTCCAATTTATTTTGACTTAAACTGCATTTAAAAAGGCCTTAATATACATTATATTTTAGTGAATATTTTTGATCACTCGGTGTGCCATATAACGTTCATCTCCACAACACCGAAAACATAACCTTATACTTATTATTATCTTTTCGTAATTTGTAAAGACAATTTAAAAAAAAAAACAAAAATTATTTAAATCAGGTCAACCCTATAAATAACATAATATGAATTAATATCACAACACAAACAAATAAAAATTCAAATTACTGAGCGGTAATACAAGTTAGACTGGTTCAAGGGTGAAAAATAATGTGTATTAATTGCGAAATCAACTCAAATGAAACTGCGAGCAAGAGCTAGGTACTCTGGTAGGTACTAGTATAAATGTTTGCTTTACAATTTCGACTTTTTGCGAAAATTTGGATGCTTCGGGGACAATCTCAAGGCGGATTCATAAATAACTAGTACAGGAGTATGTTATTTTATCAAATTTAAATTTTACTCACTATGAAAAAATTTGAGGGAATGTCATCCTATTGTTAAGATGATTACATCTACACGATATTCCTAAAATACATGTAAACTTTGACAATAATCGGCCCAGTAGTTTCTCGGAAATTATCTGTGTAATAAAAATTGACACAGAGGACAGACATATAGACAGAGAGAAACTCGAGTCCTACTTTTTCGTATACTCCAGGGGTCATGAAACGTCGAAAAAACATGAAAGCAGCCAGTCGCTCGATGAACCCTACTTAGTTTACTCGTGAAGTAAAAAGAAATACTTTTGCATTTACAAAACTCTTGAAATTATATACTTATTTATATATGTATTTATTGTTCATCACCCCTATTAAACTCACTGCAGTAGCTAATCCTATTATTTTGAATTTTATCGAAATAGTCGCTCTTTCTTTACAACAGAAAAGTGAACGCAGAATGCCACATTTCGAGCAAGCGAATTCATTCTCCTAGCGTATAATTGCGCCTAGATGGCCACTTAATACCTATAACTTTGGCAAATTCTCGTCGCTTAAACTAATTCCCCATTCCGAAAGTGTGTTAGCGCTAACGCCGCTTCCACCTAATGCATAAGAATGACACCAAAGGGTCGAACCCCATCAAAGCACCAATATAAAAAGTGTCTTACGATTCAGTCGCGCAAAGCGTTTCCGCATCCCGTCTTCTACCTCGTTAATAATATTTTCGTTTCGTTTTCAGACGATGGGGCCGAAGCAAAGGAGACACCGCCTGAAAACATGATCCCATTCAAATGGAGCAAGCCCAAATTCAATAAAGTGAAATTCAAGTAAACCAAGCAAATATCGAGAAAATCCGACGTTCCGCCTTACCCCCGCAACCAAAGCAATAAAACCCAGGACGAACCGTCACCATCATGTCGAAGACTTTAATTCTCATCATCGACTTGGACACGATAATGCGCTTGGTACCTCGCGCCGCCCCCGCACCCTCCCCAGCATGACCGCGTAGACCGTCCCCCTCTCTCCTTCCCCCCAAGCCCAGGAAGATGGTCTTGCATCGTCTCGACGAGTCTTTCTACAAGCTTGTCCTCCTACACGCCCTCCTGATGGTGCACGTCGGCGGCAGCCCGAGCGAGAAGAAGATGCTCAACGACTTCCCCTCGTTTCGGCCGGGGCGGCTGTACTTCGCCATCGCCGCCGCCCCCAGCGGGCAGGCGTACAGCAGGGCGTTCAACAAGACGCTGATGAACATCACCCAGTCCTACTTGACCACCAAGATGCACAAAGACACGTTCAACTTCACGGTGGAGACGCTGGTCATCGAGCTGCCGGAGAACGGGAGTTTCAGCGCGGCGCTGCTGAGGATTCTGTGCGACCAGTTCGAGGGCAAGCACGTGGTCGCCGTGCTGGTGGTCGGGGACTCCCCTGCGGCCTTCACGGTCTCGCTGACGGCCAAACACTCCGGGATTCCCGTGCTCTGGGCGAGGGGACACAGCGGGTTTTTACCCGGATTCAGAAGTCTGGTGAGTCTAAGTGGTAATTAACTCCTGCTACACAAGTTGTTTGACCACATCTTCTACTGTCGCATTACATAACGCAAAATTGGAAACTTATCTTTCCTTCAGCGGTTCGACGACAATCTCCATAACATAAAATACTTTAGCTCGCTTCGGTAAAGTCTGAGTAGCTAGCTGTAAGATAAGTGTTACTGTTGTAGAGTAGATCTGCTATTTCTGTAGTTTCTATTGTCCTTAATCTAGCACTTAAAGAATCAAAACTAAATTGAAACAATTCAATTAAAGAAAGAGTGCAGAAATTCACTACAATTTAACTTGATGTGTCGACTCGATACAGTAAGCTGCAAAAGTATCCAAGAAATAGACAGACAAAAGTTAAGTGCATTTTTACTCGGTAATTAGAATGTATGACGTCATTTCATAAAAACGAGCTCGCTATTCGATTCCGCATGAGAAAATTAGGACCGATTCGGACCACTTCTTTCACTGGAAACCATCCAAATTACAAAAATGCTAACTAACCTCTAAACACGCCACAAAGTCTGTACGCAATTCAACGACTCTTTAATTTTGCTGATTTTAAAAAGAATTTAAAAATGGAATGACCTACTTTGATTTAAAAAACGAACAATTCGTAATAGCATTCTGACTGGCAATTTTTCGCTTGTAAAAAGGTCCTGTCTATTGAAAGTCCCGAGGGATTTAGCCTGAGGGTTGGCATCTGCGACACCCATTTGCCAATGTCAAAATGAAATCGTGTGAAATTTGTTAAGATAAAAGTTACAAATTAATGACGAGGAGTAAATTAATCTCTCGTGATGTAAACAATGGCGGATGTTTGTAGGGTTTTGTAACTATGACGACGAGGTATTACCTGGTTTGAAAATGATTCTTCGTCATGGTAACAGGATTTTTCCGGTAAATTTCGTACTTTGAATGAAATGGAGAATGCTTTTACGACGGTTACTGGATCTTCAAATCGATTGTTAATTTCAACACTGATAGTAGGATAAAAAATTGGTCTGAAATTGCTTACGCGGAACTTTCCTCGCCCCTGAAGCACATCAAGTCGAGTTAGGATGAATTTCACGTTTTTTGATTTAATTATCTAAATCCATATTTTGTTTTTGTAAGTGAACATCAAATCGACGTAAAAATTTTTTATGATTTTTGTCGAACTTAGACTTGTGAATTTAATTATGTATAGCTACAACATCTTGAACTCTTGATTGAGAATGAACGGATAAATTTTGCTTAGCATTTTGTCATCTAGGCATATTATCAAAATGTTCACATACGACGGGACAGACAGACGGAAGAAGTCCTACTTTTTTATAATATAGAAAGTACGAAACGTCGATAAAATAGGCAATTGGTCACTCGTTTAATGGATCCTATTATATTGCATTCCTAGATTACGTTCGGGAAGTAAACATCCCGAAACACCACCTCAGGCGTGATTTTGATAGAATTGTCGACCTTTGTCTTTGAATTTCTCGTAAATTTTACTTTCAACTTAATGATGTACTAAATAGTACTCCTATTAATTATATAATATTTATTTTCGTGAAACTGTTTCATTTAAAGTGACATATACTTAATATATACAGTTAAATTTAAACTATAATATGAAAAACTGGTCTAAAATTGTTTAGACAGGACCTCCCTCGTACATGACGTCAAACATCCAAACAAATTCAGTGTGTTACAAAAAAAGTGCAGACGAGATGTTATTCGAACGAACGCAAACAGAGTTCAAGTTCGCTAAGGCATGCAAAAATTCACACGTTCACTGAGAATTCGTTATGATCGTAACTCAAATACCTGCGATGTGACACTCGTGACAAATATTGCACTAAAATTTGGGTAATAACAAATCAAAAGGGATTCATAAATCACATGTACGAATGTATGTGGTTATAAAATGTAAATAGGAGATAGTACGAAAAAAGCGAGTTTACCCCATTTAATTGTTGGTGGGGATGACTAGGCAAATTGTGGTTAGTGTCTTACCATCTACGATAATCTTAAATCGCCTACAAAATTTGATAACAATTGGTCCAGTAAAATCGACATATACAAACAGACGACACATGATATGCAGACGACAGACAAACGAAAGTGGGAGATCTATTTTTTCGTACTCTAGAGGTCATAAAACGTCAAAAAAGTAGCCATACGTCCTGTTAAATTTATCGAATTAAATCTTTTAAAATTTTGGAAAAATATGAAAATATGCTAGAAATTATATTTTGCAGTAGATGGTTTCAAAGTACTGGTTGATTACTTCTACAACTCGTTTCAAAAATGTGTCTTATGTTTCCACTTTTATCTTTTTACTGTCTAAGAAAAATCAGCACAGACAGATGACAGACAGATTCTAATAAGATACATAATAATGTTGTTATTAACTAACAGTTTTAAAAATGGTCACCAAAATGAAAAGGAGGCGGGTGGGCGGGTTTTTGCTGGCCTACAAAAGACTCTGCAGAAAAAAGTTACACTTAGCCCCGCCCACCCACCTGTTTCTCATTTTTTTCTTCTAAAATAAGAAATAATTGTTATAGCAAATAGTGCAACAAAAAGGTAACGATTAGAGCTTTTGTTTTACGTTTTTTACAGCCTAGGTTCTATTATTTTCCAATTCCACTCTACAAAAGAACAAATAATTAACCCCGTCCACTCACGCGCCTCCATTCAGTGATTAATTTTAATTGCTCCGAATGAAAGTTGGAACTTATACGGTACATGAATAAAATTCGTCGTTCGAATGAGAAGAGGGTGGGTGGGCGGGGCTTAGTACTTGTCAAGACAGGACTGATTTTGGCAGATCATACATTGGCAAATGACATTATCTCTAAAAAAAAAAATAGAGGTGTTCTATTTGAAAAACACGTGTATACATACATTGTTTAATTAGTGACACGTACTTAAGTACGTAAGTTTATTTTGAAACTCGTTTCAAAAATACTCGTTGTTTAAAAAATATATATACATAGATAACACCAGTCACAGAAAAAAGTAAGAAAAAAAAGTGGACCATGAGGAGATCGAACCTGCGACGTTCGTCTCATTAATACAGCATTAACCAACTGAACTATGTCGATGATCTGTTGGTTTCCTTTTGTATTGATATAAAATGTTGCTAAATAATTTGGGGGTTCTGCGAACGTCTCTTAAAAAATTAAGGCGGATTCAAAAAATATAAATACAGGAGAATAATATATTATAAAATTTAAATAACATTTTACTCTCTAAGCAATATTTTCAGATACAGTCGGAAACGATACATGTATTTTTACATACCGACTCTAGGAGTCATAAAACGTCGGGGCAACATGAGAGTAGCCCTTCGCCGGATGGATCCTGTTACAATACTGCCTAGGTTTAAAATTCATTGAAATAAATTTCATGAAATTTTTGAACAATATAAAAATATATTAGAAATGCCACTTTTCAGGAATTTTTTTTCAGAGTATAGTTTAGGAAATAAAAATATACCTTATAATATTTTGACGGACAGTAGTACAATGGTAAGAAATATATCCACTAAGTGGTCGCGTGCTCATAGTCACAATATATTAGAAAGCAGAACAGTCCAGATCCGTACATCTCTTAAAAAATTAAGGCGGATCTATAAACTATAAGTACACAAGTACATTTCTTTAACTCCAATTACACTATAACAGCGATAACTTCGCAACTTAAATGTATTCCTCATTTGACTCTTGACTGAATTATGAATGAATCATTCCCCACGGTGATCTCTATTTAAATCCATATTTCGGCGATCCAACTCTTTCTCGAGTTGGGTATTCGCGACTTCCGCTTCCAGGCTTTTCGAGCGCCGTTTCGAGACTTTTTCTGGGCCCGTCGCGACATCCGCTTGCATCCGCGCGGCCGGTGAGTCAGACTACATTAGCTCAAGAAACGCATACATTGTAGAAGACCCATAGGCGTCGTACAGGGGCGGCGTGTATGTTTATTTCATAAGAATATTATTAAATTTAAATAGCATCTATTTACCACCCAAAATTAGGAGATGACGCCATCAAATTGTTGGTGAGGACGATCAGACAAATTTTGGTTAGCATTTTACTCTCTAAGCGATATTCTCAACGTATCTACATCTAAAATTTGGCGACACTCAGTCCGGTAGTTTCCGAGACTATCTTCTGTTTAATAAAAATCGACACAGACGATACACAATCGCCAACGGGATACACTATTTTTTTCCATACTCAAGGGGTCATGAACTTTGAGAAAACATTCGCTGGATAGATTTTATTACAATACTTCCTTAGCTTACGTTCGGGAAATAAAAAGGTGCTGGAAATTTATTACCATTTTAGAGTTTTATAGACATCTGAAATAATGTTTTGTGTATTTCAAAAATTTTAAGAAAAAATACCTTTTGTATTTTTGTATGTAGTATTTTAATCTCTGAAGGTGTCGGAATTTTACTAACTATGCGAGATATCATTATTCATTATAAAGTTTAAAATTCCGATTATACTGATACTACATACGAGGGTCGCTATGATGTTAAATATCTTGAGAACCAATTGTACAAATCACCTGAAATTAGGGTTGTGCACTAATTATTCATCAAACATTTTTTTTTATATCTTTGCTTCTATTGTTTTCGAACTCCAAGGCCAATTTGATTTTTTTTAAATGCCACTACCATATAATGCATCGTATTTTAGCATGTACTAACCCCCCCCCCACCCCCCATCTGCCCTCTCTTTTCTTGGAGCGTATCTAATGAGATACCTTGTGCATATAAGTAAGCTTGTAATGTTTTCAAATTTTGATCATTTTTTGTAAAAGTTAGTCATCCGTTAAGATAAAACTAATTTTGGCAAATGATATACGGTCTAAGAAAAGAGGGGGTGGGTATTAATGAAAAATAACATCTTGTTTTATTAATAATAATGCATAACGGTTAATGACTACTGGTTGTTATGGTTATTGGTCTAAAAAAATGAAACCCCCATACGCAA